GGGGGGGGGGGGGACTGTGCTGTTTGATTTTTCCTTGTTCATCCAAGGTTTCTGATTGGGGGATGTTTTAATTATTTTATGGGTGGATACTTTATCGACATAACTGTTGATGTGGTGCAGAACGGAGTTGGTGTAGATATTAATGTCTGTGTGTGAGTCCAGTGTTGGTGCACTCACTATTTTTCTGTTTATGTTGCCTATGTATACGTATTTATTGAGGATGTCAATTTTCAGGAATATTCATGAAATATTGTCTTTAAAATTAAAGATCAATTAATCAGTTAATCGTTGACGTTAATACTGAAAACACATCAAAGACCTCCAAATATCATGTAAACGTAGCCTACTTTTAAAAGCATACTTTAAATATGAATACATTTTCAGTACACTGTTTTAATATTTTTAATTTGTTTAATATGAGTTTAATTTACTATTAATCTTTTATTGTTAATAATAATAATAATAATGTACGTAGAAAATACAGATATGATGTTTTCTTCATTAAAACTTCACTCTGAGCATAGTGAAATATTTCAGACATTTGTTTAGATTAGGGATGCACCAATATGGAATGTCATGGCCGATACTAATAATTGATCATTCATAGGCTGTTGTGGCCAATACCGATAACCAATTATATAAAGTTTTTATAAAAGTAATGAAAATTGATTCCTTATTTCATGACCCGTTTAAAATTTTGCCTGACAAATTGCACATGAACGAAAAATATATATTTTTAAATACGTTATACAAATTGATTAATGTTACTGTACGTACGTTCCTTTGCAATATATTTTAAAGAGCCTCAGTCTCGCTTGACTTTTCTGACCAACCACTACTGAAATGTTAAACATCTATATGTAAAAACTATTTTTTTATATGTAAAGGTATTGTTTATTGTTAATTCATGACACCTAGTGCGTTAACCAATGTTAACGTGTCTCATATTTGCAAGGCTGCACCACAATCAAGCCAATCACATTCAGATGTTCTTGTTTGGTAGTCATTTTCGTTTGTTGTATAGAGTTTTGCAATTTCTATTTCATAAACTTCTTGAAAATGGTAAAGCTTTGCTACAGTAAATCACATTAAACCAACATGAATACAAAGAATACAGTTCTTAATTGGCACTTGTAAGATTTAACAGCACTATCATCTAAAGTGTACCTTCCCTTTAAGAGAGCATGTTGAAATGAGTTGTTAGACCACATACACACAAATCTAAAAAAAAGTATATATTTTATGTAACAATATACAAAGCAACAAAAGAAAACGTTGCCAATAATAAATCGTTTTTGATGTTTTTTGCAAGTATTGATAGTGTGCGGGATTTTCTTTTGTTGCTTGTTTTATTTATTTTTTTAACTTTTTGGTTCTTTTTCTTACACATCTATCTATTGCCTGCAGGTGTGCAATGATGATTGCTAATTGATGTAAGAATATACTAAAATAAGAGAGACAAAAAAGACACTACAACCTTTAATGATAATAATAATAATAATAATATTTGCTTCAGGAGTCTGATGTCCGTGTGACCACAAATAGTCCTTAATCAGAGTATAGTGGCATATTCAACCAAAAATATTCAAGGCACCGTCCTAATAAATTTAATGCGAATAATACCTGTGGAATAACTAGTAATGTTTGTTTATTTCTTAGGTACTGGCTTACAAATAAAATAAATATCAAACGACCATCTACTGGATTATTGATGTACACAATGGCTACACGCTTCTGTGATGAAATCCACCTGTATGGATTCTGGCCTTTCCCCAAGGACGGTAACAGAAATCCTGTTAAATATCATTACTATGACGGACTGAAATATCGCTATTTTTCCAGTGCGGGACCCCACCGCATGCCGCTGGAGTTCAAGACGCTGAAGACACTGCACAGTAAGGGTGCGCTGAAACTGACAACCTCTGAATGCACATATGCTTGACGTGCAGCTCATGGACGGACACTCAGGACTCGAGTGTAGGCTGAGAAATCAAACTAAAATGTGTTTCGAGCTTTGGAGAATGCGTGTGCCTTCAACTGGAAACTGTGACCTGTTCGTCCTGTGAGACTTCTGATTCATTTACTATAGAGAAAGTGCAATGCTTTAGATACTGAACAATCTAGGATTGTTTCCAAATGACAACTGAAACAGTCCTGCTTAGTGCTTTGATACTGTGTATTAGGATCTTGGTAAGTGATCTTGTCTGAAAATGTCTTACACAAAAGTTGCCAAAGATGCCGTTCCATCCTTGTTTGAGAGGTTCTTTGTCTGTACTGTACTCTTTAGTATTATTTTTTGTTTCACACAGTTCAGAGATTCCTAACTTGGTCACACATGTCCAAACGACTACATAAGCAGGTGCTTTTCAGTTTCCTTTTAAGGGTAAAAAAAAAACTATGTGTGCAAATGTTTTATGAATTTGCTGTGAATTGCAATATGGGTAATTTGGTGAGTGTGTTTTCACACACACTATCCATTTTTTTAACTGATAGGTAATTTTAATAATAATAATAATAATAATTGATGATTGATAATGATTTTCTGTCTATTATCATGAACACATTTCTGGTTTGGTATCAATGAACCTTATGGTTGCACCTAAAAAAAAGAAACGAAAAGAAAAACACTGGTATATATCAATCTCAGATTTACACTTTGTGAAGATGACTGAATGTGTTACATGTATGTAAGTAATTCTTTATTAAATGTACTACTGTATGTCAGAATGTATCGGCATGCCTGAAACAGATGACTTGAATATAATAATGCCTCACATTATGTAAGTGCCATTATATTGTGTATGTTACTGGTCGAAGTGGCTTGAGTAGGGATAACTAGTAAAAAAAAAACTATGTGTGCAAATGTTTTATGAATTTGCTGTGAATTGCAATATGGGTAATTTGGTGAGTGTGTTTTCACACACACTATCCATTTTTTTAACTGATAGGTAATTTTAATAATAATAATAATAATAATTGATGATTGATAATGATTTTCTGTCTATTATCATGAACACATTTCTGGTTTGGTATCAATGAACCTTATGGTTGCACCTAAAAAAAAGAAAAGAAAAGAAAAACACTGGTATATATCAATCTCAGATTTACACTTTGTGAAGATGACTGAATGTGTTACATGTATGTAAGTCATTCTTTATTAAATGTACTACTGTATGTCAGAATGTATCGGCATGCCTGAAACAGATGACTTGAATATAATAATGCCTCACATTATGTAAGTGCCATTATATTGTGTATGTTACTGGTCGAAGTGGCTTGAGTAGGGATAACTAGTAAAAACATTCTGAGCAGATCGTTGATGCAGAATTGTTTTTATCTTAAAAGATGAGCAAAAACTGTACATGTATAATTGATGTACTTTAGGGCTCTCTGAATGAAGCCATCAATGTCTTAGAGTATTAATTTTTCTACTTCTTTTATTTATATTGTAATGTATTTTGTAGTTTTAAATAGATGTTAAATGTGTTTCTAAGCATTTTTTGTGTTTTTTAATTTTATACGATTTGTTTTGCTGTCATTTGTTTTGACAGCTTTGAAGTTGATTTAAGGTTCTAATGCCAAATTTCTGTGGAAATACATTTTAGACAAAAGCAAAAATTTTTGATTTTGATAACATTTCTGATTACTTGACCAAAAGCCCACTGTGAAATGATGTGTGATAGGCCTAAAAAAACAATATATTTCCTCAACAGTTCAGTAAAAAGTATGACTTTACAAGTGAATAAAACATTACAAATGACTAATAATTAAACTGATAAAAGATTATGATATAGATAGATAGAAAGATATTTGACCACCCAGTGACTCAGTCAGCTGTAATCATGTATAATCTGCAGTCAGCTGTATAATCATGAAACTCGTACAAGAAGAACTTCTGTGAGGTAGAACATAATGCAAGTCTGTATTTTGGCAAGCTTATTTAGTTGCATAGGCTATTTACATGCAATACAAGCACTTAAATGAACCAACTATACCAGATTCTAAGGAAAAGGGGATATTTACACTTGGTCCCATAGCTATCCAGTCATAAAGGGGAAGTCGTGGCCTAATGGTTAGAGAGTTGGACTTGTAACCCAAAGGTTGTGAGTTCGAGTCTCAGGTCCAGCAGGGATTGTAGGAGGGGTGAGTGAATCTACAGCATTCTCTCCCACCTTCAATACCACGACTGAGGTGCCCTTGAGCAAGGCACTGAACCCCCAACTGCTCCCCAGGCGCCACAGCATAAATGGCTGCCCACTGCTCTGGGTGTGTGTTCACGGTGTGTGTGTGTGTCTGTGTGTTCACTGCTGTGTGTGTGCGCGCACTAAGGATGGCTTAAATGCACAGCATGTAATTCCTAGTATGGGTAACCATACTTGGCCACATGTCACGTCACTTTTCTTTTCTTTTTAAAGTGAATGTAATCTGAGATGCATTTCAGCCAAGTGTAATGAATTTGGTTGCTCGGGGCACATACGTGAACATTATTAATCTGATGATTATTAATCTGACGAATTCAAATGCATGAAGGGACCAAGTGTAAATATTCCCTTAGTTTGTAAAAATTCTACATTTTGTAAAAAGCATCACCGAGTACTAATAAAAATAATAATACAAAAAGCCATAAATGTATCGTTAGTTATACAAAGAATAGGAAAAGTCATAATATTGCCATCAACTATATAAATGAGCTAAAACAAGAGGGAAGATATTTTATCGCAAGCTAAAGAGAACTAAATGGCCTAGACAGTAAAAACATAAAGAAAATGCATATAATGTACAAATAACAGTGGCACTGTCATTACATAGAACATCTTGAAAATGGGAAACGGATCATAAGAATTCAAATTGTGTGACAACAAAAGTTTACAGAAATGCAGGCCATCATTCTTTCTTAAACTTTCCTCTGAATGCAAAGAAACATGCAACACATTAAAGGTTACGTGGACCTGAATCAAGATGTCATCTCGAAAGAGAGAACAGTGATGTAACTCAGTCTCGGAAGTGATGCTGAGTTCTGAGCTTTCTATTTATATTTCTATGCTTCAGCATGCAGTGATTACCATGGTACCAGGTTACCATGACAACTTCAAGCACTTGCTGCTGCTGTGTTGTCACACTTGAATATTATATATGGAGTTATTTTAGGTTCCATCATGAATATCTACAGCAGATTATTTTATCAATTTAATTTCCCTTTTTTTAATCGTTCTATTAATTTGTATGTATTTGCATATTTCAAATGCAGAAACGATGATATTCAGAGATGTAATTGTAAGAGAAAATTAGGAAATCATTATGTTCAGGTATGAACATGGTCGTGTCTGAATTAAACTTGTTGAGAAACTCCAGGCTGTCCTGTAATCAGTCTTGTTCACATTCTTGTTTCCTCGGGTGGGCGACACATGTAGTCTTGAATTGCCTGATGCAGTGGAAGCCATTTTCCTATTGACGATTTTATTGCACTAACCCATCTAGGAAGAACAGAAGAAAAAAAGGATGATGTTACTTCACCATGTTAATTAAGAGAGAAGGGGGGAGAGAAGTCTTGACTTGTCTTGTCTTGTTGAATGCTTTTAAAATGCATTATTAAACATTATTCAAAATCAAGTAAATTACCGTTTGTTCTCATTAGCATTCTCTGCGCAGAGGTAGAACACTTTAAACTCTTCAGATGGAGGTCTGAGCTCAATGGCAGATCTTCTGGATCCCACTGGCTGATCCCTCACTGTGAAACCATGCAAGTAGATTCCTCCTGCAATAAGACAAATGGGAGCTATTAGTTGTCATACAAAGAAAGCTATAGATATACTATGAAAAACAGGATACATTTACATGAAATAATATATATGAAGAACATAAATAAAACTATACAGTATGTATGTATACATATTTATATACACTATATGGATAAAAGTATTGGGACACCTGACCAACAGAGACATTAACATGGAGCTGGTCCCCTCTTTGCAGCTATAATGCTCCACTCTTTTGGGAAAGCTTTCCACAAGATCTTGGAGTGTTTCCGAGGGAATTTGTGCCCATTCATCCAGTAGAGCATTTGTGAGGTCAGACGCTGATGTTGGACGAGAAAGCCTGGCTTGCAGTCTCTATTCCATTTCATCCCAAAGGCGTTTGATAGGGTTGATGTCAGGGCTCTGTGTGGGCAAGTCAAATTGTGCTACACCAAAATTCATCCAACCTAATGTCTTTAGGGACCTTGCTTTGGACACTGAGGCACTGTCATGCTGGAATAGAAAAGGGCCTTCCCCAAACTGTTCCCAAAAAGTTGGAAGCATAGTATTGTCTAAAATATCTTGGTAGTAAACTGGAGCATTAGGTTTTCCCTTCACTTGGAAGTAAGGCAGACATAGAAGAGTGATTTGTCACTCCAGAGAATAGGTTTCCACTGCTCCAGAGTCCAGTATCTGCATGCTTTACATCACGCCATCCGACACTTGGCACTGTACACTCTTAAAAATAAAGGTGCTTCAAAAGGTTCTTCAAGCGATGCAATTGAAGAACCATTTTTGGTTCCACAAAGAACCATTCAGTCAAAGATTCTTTAAAGAACCATCTCTTTCTTACCTTTTTATAATCTGAAGAACCTTCTTTCACCACAAAGAACCTTTTGTGAAACAGCAAGGTTCTTCAGATGCTAAAGGTTCTTTATGGAACCATTTAGACAAAAAGGTTCTTCTATGGCATCGTGAAGCACCTTTATTTTTAAGAGTGTACCTGGTGATGTGAGGAAGGATTACATGAAGTTCTCGCCATTCAGTTTTTATCCTGAAATTAATGCCAGTGGAAGTTTGGGACTCTTCAGCTATGGAATCAGCAGAGCATCAGCGACTTTTATGAACTATGTGCACCCCGAGTGACCACGCATTTTGACTTTTCGTGGTGATGCTGCTGCTGTTCCTAAACGCTTCTGCTTGTCAATAATACCATTTACAGTTGAGCATGAATTTCATAATTCCCAATACTTTTGCCCATGTAGTATATACTGGGAGTTTAATTTCAGCATAGAGTTGTTTTGTTTTATCTGGAGTCTTGATTTATGAAGTCTTCTTTCATTAGCAGTTGTACAACAATACAGCAGTTCCAACAGTTGCACTGTAACAGTTCTAATACGTACCTATCGCGCAGGTTGACCGAATGCTTGCATAGAAATAGAGGCATCCATCTTTCAGCACACAGTAGTGCTGCACCCATGAGTCCTTGGTCCTGTCCAGCTGGTGGAGTAACCCAAGGCATTCTGGGTTCTTGACTGCCAGAGGGGGCAGATTTGAGTTGTGCCGAGTGACGTCCATCCACACATGATTCTGCTTCAGCAATCACCATCATTAGCATTATGAGCATTACCACAACAACATTGCTTTCTTTCAACCAATGCGATTCAATTTAGCAAGACACTGATTTATTCATTGATCCTGTTTATTCATATTAATAGTAGAATGAAATACCATCTTTTAGGTATGGTTAATGATGCCACAGCAAATAATACATGCACATTTCATTAGGAAGTTACCTGAGTAATAGGATGAACCGCTCTACCCATAGCCTCCAGCCACCTGAAAAACAAACAATTACAAACTTATTTTTTCATTATTTGCTATTCACCAGATGATTTTTGGTATGTGCATTATTAATCGCCTTAAAGTATTGGCAGTCCCTCTGAAACAAAATTGATTGTGCAAGGGAGTACAAGGCAAACAGAACACCAAGACAGTAACACAGACATAAACAATACTGAACAGGGAACTAACTCAAACTGAGGACTTAAATACATAGAGCAAACGAAGGAAACTAGATGGGACACAGGTGAAGCGAATCAAAAATGAGGGAAACCAAATCAGTAACTATGAAAAACACATGATAAATGAGAACATAGATAACTAAGGAAACCATAGACACTAATGAGGTACACAGAGAGGCAGACAGATACAGACCAGAACGGAGCATAATCCTAACATTTGCCCCTGAAAATTTTTTATTTTTATTTTTAACCTGTGTAAGAGCACTTTTTATGATTGTCACAGGTAGACTGCTCTTTTTGTTTAATTCATTTGATGAACACACAACTTATATTACACATATGGTTGTTCACTAGGAGGCTGCTATAATAAGGCTATTATATAAGGCTGTTATCACATTCAAGACACAGGGTCATACATTTCTGTAAAGCTGCTTGGAAATATAAATAAAGATAAATGTACTTTAAAGCAACACTCTAAGATATTAAGACTTGCTATCACTTGAATGTATTTTGAATATGAGTTGTATTTGTCTTCATGCACTTACACATTTGTTTACTTGTAGTAAAAAAGTAATTTTTTACAAGAAACAATCTGCTTAAAAATATGTCAGTACATTAATAAAATTCACATGTGGTACATTCAAGACACAATCTAAGAACACAAGTCTTAATATCATATGCAGTGTTGCTTCTCGAATTTTTCAAGTACTTTTATATATGTTTAAGTTTACTCGTAATTTTAAGTGGTTAATAGTCTAGCACTTCTCTTGAAAAAGTGGTTAACTACACTACAAGCTACTAATGAAAAATAACTACTACATATATCCTTTTGGCTACTTAAGGATCTTTTAAAATATATAACGATCAAACTATATAATCAACAGTTTTAAGAGCAGAAAACAAGGAATTTTGAAGGAATGAAAGCAAGGGTGACAGCAATAAACCTTACAAATAAATTTACACTAAATACAACTATAAAACACACTAATTTTATAACCAAAACATTCAATAATTAACAGCAGCATTTAACTAAATAGTTCGATACAGAGACAGTAAATGCTGCTATAAACGAAGGAGCCACAAATAAGTAATTTGTTTACTTCAGTCGATCAGTCTTTATTTACCAACCAACCAATTAACAAAAATTTATGTCTATTGCTGTGGATGATTCCAGGAGAGCATGCTTGATTATTGTTTCATCTTGATTGGTTGTGAAGCTGTGTGCAGTGTTTTGTTATGCTACTCCATCACTTGTTGGGAAAAGTACTGTTGCTTGATACTGGAAAAGCTCAACGATTTTAAAAACAGCTGAACAAGTGTCACACAGTCTGACTATTTTTATTTGTAAGTCCCCAGCATTGCTCTAATTAAATAAATAGAGTGATCCCTTCATTTTAAAAAGCACTGTATGTTCTCACCTCTTCATCTCTTGGTTTGATGTTGCACACAGGTAGTAAACTCGGTTCCCAGAGACAGGACAGTATCTGAACACAAACGGCTTTCCTAAACTGGTGTCAGCCTCCACCACCGCTCCTTCCAGACTCGTCGCAGACAGAGCTCCACTCTTCCCTTCATCCTGTCAACGAGAAACACATTTTGTAAGTCAATGCACATTCTGATTTTACAGGTTCAACTCGGGATGAAACAGAAAACTACACTCACTCGCTTGTTTCTGTAGTAATAGAGGCAGCAGTCATGTCTGAGCACGAACCACCTCTTTCTCCAGCCTTTCAGCAAACTGGATTGAGTTCGCTTATGCAAGTAACCCCTGCACGCTGGTCGTGGAGTGTTAGGAGTTCGACCAATATCCGAGCCAATGGTCAGCGTTAAAATGTCTGGGCCTATATTATTCGAACCAGAAATCACATAAAACAATTAAACACAAAATGATTTCATTAAGTTATACAATAGCACCAGTAACACTTTATTTTGATAGTCCATATTAGCCATTCTGTTGACTATAAATAACTACATATCAACTACCAGTCAATGTAAATGTTATAGAGAAAACTGGGCATGAAACAAATCAATCTAAAAAAAACTAAATAAAATAAACATTGGAGTCTGTTGCCATTCTACACTACACAGTTTCATGTGAAATGTGCCATTTCTGACTGCCCAAAATCTGCAGACTGGCTCTGACTTTCAGCTGGTATCGATTCCTCCAAACTGCAAATCAGGGTAAACATGAGACATGCTGTAATAATGTTGTCTTTGAGTGTGCACCCTACCTTGTCGTGCGAGGTCAGCTGCTTCTGAGTGTGGCACACTTGTGACATCAGTGCCGTTTACCGCCAGCACATAGTCTCCAACCTGCAGCCCTGCCTCCTCCGCTGCTCCATCTGAAACACAGCACACCAACAGCTTTATCTGACTCCATCTGAGATCTCGACATCTGAGGAAAATGGCCCATGTACAGCACACTCCTTGCTACTACAATTCAAAGTGTTTAAATCAAAAATGATCAGCAGTGGGACTTCTGTGCAAGTTTAACGCAAAAGAGAATGTTGTTGGCAGGTTTTATGGCTGCAAAGAAGACTAACACAGAACTGGTTTACACCGCACATGTGTGCAAAAACACATTGGATTCATAGCCTCTCTAAAATAGTGACTTGTGAGTGTGCGGCAGCACGAATTAATAAGGCCAAACCTAGTATCACTGATGCCTGCAATATTTTTCTTCCAACATACTGAATTATATAAAGGAATGATTATGAATAATATAAAGTAACCATGAACCTATCTGTTCAAGGTTGATATAGGTTTTAGAAATCAATCCACAAGTGTGTTTAATTTGATTACAGAAGGCAGGATTCCAGCGGTTCCAACCTGACCTCAAGACAAAACATAACTATTATACAAAATGGCGATTTAGTATTAATTTGTGTGATTTGTAAGAAATGTACTATTTGTATAAAAAAACATGAATGAAGCTCTACTCCTAAACCTAACCCTCAGTGGAGAAGGAAGTGCTCCATGTGTTTCGACCAAACTTCTCCGCACCTTCAAAGAGCTACGCACAGCAACTGATGTGACTCTGCGCGCAACTAAGGCCACTGTGCAGGCGATCGGCAAAGCCATGGCCAACTTGGTGGTGCTGGAGCGCCACCTTTGGCTAAATCTGACGGAGATCAGGGATGCTGACAAGGTCACCTTCCTAGACTCGCCAGTCTCTCCCAAGGGACTGTTTGGCCCTGCCGTAGATGGTTTTGCTGAGCAGTTTACAGCGGCACAGAAGTCATCGCAGGCAATGCGTCACTTCCTGCCGAAGAGCTCCAGTGCGGCGGTTGTTTCAAATTGCCAGAAGGCTCCATCCTCTCAGCAGCCTGCCAAGCTGGTGCCACCTCAGCCCCAGCCTAAGTCTGAGCCTGGGCTTCAGCAGCACCCCCGGACAGTGAAACAAAACCCGCTTCCTAGGCATCAAGGTCCCCGCCTCAGAGTGACGTTGGACCCTGTCTCTCAGAAGCTGTCCTGATCCAAACAGAGAGGAAGAGGAGAGTGTCAGTTCTTGCTGAGGCCTGGACTCTCTCAAAGAAGTCTCTAACTGCCACTAGAAAAACTCAGACCACTTGCCATCCAGCTTCAGGCTTGGAAAGCTATCCCGAATGTGTCAAGTTGGGTTCTAAAAACCACTGAACGAGGCTCACGTTCTCCGGCCTGAAGTGCAGACACTGCCTGCAAAAGGAGCCATGAAAATGGTTACTGTAGTGAACAGCGAGTCAGGCTTTTACAGCCATTACTTCCTCGTTGCCAAGAAAGATGGCAGGCTCAGGGAAATTCTCGATCTCAGGCATCTGAACTGCTTGCTCATGAGACGGCCGTTTTTAGATGCTGACTTTGAAACAAATCCCCCCCAGACTGGTTTATATCAGTGGATCTGAAAGACGTTTACTTTCACATCCCAATAGCCCCCCATTCAAAGACTTTTCTTGAGATTCACATTTGAGGGAGTGGCCTATTAATACACAGTCTTGCCATTTGGACTGTCTCTGGCCCCACACACTTTTACGAAGTGCATGAACACATGACTCTTTCCCCTCTGAGGCAGATGGATGAGAATCCACATTTTGAATTACCTCGACGATTGTCTGGTTTTAGCCAGATCAGAACAAGAACTCATCGCTCACAGGTCACTGTTGCTCAGCCACCTGGAGCAGCTTGGGTTGAAAATCAATTTAGGCAAGAACTGTTTGTCTCCCAGCCAGCGGGTAGTCTTTCAGGGGATAGTTATCGATTCTGCCCAGATGGATTATGGACATGGCGGACATGGATTACACCATGGATTACACATACACCATTAAGGAATGCTCCCTGACTGTTCAGCGACTAGCGGCGTCATTCAAACTGGAATTTTCACGTCCCCTCAGGGCTTTCCAGAGGATGCTTGGCCTCATGACGGCAGCTTCCTCTGTGATTCCTCTGGGCCTGCTTCACATGCAGCCCCTCCAGTATTGTCTCAAAGTGCTGCATAAGAGCTGTGGCCCCTTGGAGGTCTCCTTGCCTGTTACAATCGGGTCACAGGTCACACTCCCTTCACAGGTTGGCTTGACGCGTTCTTTTATGGGCACAATGTAAACTCCTCTCGCTGAGAGCAGTTCACGTGCCGGGCAGATTGAACCAAGGGGCATACATGCTGTCCAGGGGCAATGTAACTCCAGGAGAATGGAGACTACATCCCCAAATGATTCAAATGATCTGGTGTGTCTTCGGCAGGGCAAAGGTGGGCCTCTTTACCTCAGAAGACAACTTTCACTGCCCAATTAATCTTTTGAAGCATTGAGAAGCACTGGCCCACGTTTGGCCCAGCACTCGCCTGTATGCCTTCCCCCCGGTTGCCCTGCTTCCTCAGGTCATTAGACGGGTCAGGGAAGTCAGATCTTCGATCCTCCTGTTGGCCCCAATCTGGAGGAAACAGATGTGGTTCCCCAAGTTGATTCAGCTGCTATCGGAAGCCCCCTGGCCGATACCACAGAGGATGGACCTCCTCTCGCAAGCAAGGTGCATGATTTGGCATTCCCGGCCAGAGCTGTGGAGCCTTCCTGTTTCTGGCACGTTTCGGCACTCAGAACAGCTCTTTGTATGCTTCAGAGGCCACTCTAAAGGGCTGGCTTATGCCTCAGCAAGCTTACAGTGTCCTATAGGAGTGAGGGCCAACTCCACCAGAGGAATGGCCTCCTCCTGGTCTTGGTCCAACGGGATTTCTATTATATCTGATATCTGTGCAGCCACCAACTGGTCGTCACCGTCTACCTTCACCCAGTTTTATAACTTGGACGTTCCTGTCCTGCAAACATGAATTTTGTCCACTTAATTTACCTAACCCACTTCGTAAGTTTGGGAGGGTTGTGCTATGTAATCCTCAGCCTAAGAGGCTTGGGTCTCATTATTAGCTCATGCTTACAGGAGCCCTCACCATGGGTGCTACAGGGTTGGGCTCGCACAGCGACTTCGTTCTGCACTTGCTTATAGCACGGTGCTATTGGATGCGTTAAGCGTGTTAAGCAATGGGAGAGACCATTCGAAAGGGAATGCTTCGGGTTACTTACGCAACCTAGGTTCCCTGAGATTAGGGAATGATTGGTTTGTAGGCTGCCATGCCATAAGGCTGCATGCGAGTCGATGACTGACGCTTCAGTCGAAAGATTGGGATGATGCCCATTGGTTCGTGCAGCTACACGAATGTGATCAAATCAGGTTTCAGTATCAGAGTAAACAGGAGTTTTCCATAAGCGTATTAATGCAACACTCGTTCTTTTATCTCAGGGAATCACGGTTACGTAAGTAACTGAAGCGTTTTAGTACTACAATCAGACCAGCTCTTTTAGGAGAGTAATCTCATTAAAATCTAGTACATTTTATTTTATGCATTTGCCTGACACTATAAAAACTGAACCTGTTGCTCTGACTTCTGGTTCCTGTCTGCTGTGCTGCTCAGTGGTTTTGCAATTGGAGCTCCGTGTAGCTTTGTTTTTCTGTTGGAATCTTACTATCACTCTCTGTTGTCTAAACTGCTAAAATATATCTTAATTCTCACCATATTTCTGATACTATCTATCAAACTAATTTGACACTGTTCGCTTTTTAATCTAAACTGCTAGCGCAGCGCGTTAGCATTCCATTAGCCTGTTAGCCTGTCATTCGCAACATACCGTTTCATTTATCTCTCGCTCAGTTTCTTTTCTCTCTCTCGCTCTGTTTTTCATAAGTTCATCAAACAACTGTGGTAAGTTCGAATCATTCAACAATCACGTTGAGTCATCATGGCGTCTTCTCCTGTAATTGTCACTTGCACTGCTTGCCACATGTATAGTGTAGCCTTCTCTGCCAGCGGTGAGGGATTTACGAGATAAATGCAGGGAAATAGTTAGGCTGACAGAGAAGATTTCAGAGCTAGAGACACACATCCAAACTTTAACTGAGGATAGTAAGAATGTGAGGGACTTAGTTGGACCCTTACCCTCAGAAGGCCTTAGATTATGTAGTCCCGTACATAAATCGGTTCCGTTTGCAGAGCCCCCACAGCAGAGCGACTATGAGGCGCCATAGTTGCTGGACAAAACACCGCTCTTCTCTCTAGAAACATGGCCCCTTTCACACAGTAATACCAGTAAATTGCGGTTAAATTACCGGAACGACTTTACCGGTAAATTTAAAAACGTGCTGTTTACACGGGCAACGACGTTCCATCTTTTTTACTGTAAAGCACCATTCACTCATCAATGGTCAGTGTTTTTGTTGATGTTTTCACTTTTGTGTCAAACATTCACATTTATGCAGCTGCTTTTGTCCCAGAGACATTTTTAGACATTTCTTTGACTTCCGTAAACAGCACGGAGTAAATGCGTCACCTGCGTCAGAATGTTATGATTGGCCCAGAGTAGAAGTCTTACGTCAGCGCGTTCTATACTTGTACGTGTGCATACCGCTAATCTTGTGCTGCGTTCACACAGAGCGCATTACCGGTAATTTACTGGTAATGTTACAAGTGGAATTATACTGGAAAATTGCCAGGACGAATTTACCGGTATTTTTGAAAAGGTCCTGTTCACACATGATCTCTTAACGGTAATTTACCAGTAAAAACTGTGTGTGTGAAAGGGGCTATTGTCTTAGAGTCTGTAGTTGACTAACTGGGGCCCAGGTCAGGAAGCAGAAAGACTGGCTAAACTGACCGTCTGCTAGCTGCCTCACGTCACAGAAGTCAGTTAATTCTCAGCACATAGAGACTCTTTCACCTAGATATCATACTATAGAGACTGTGTCTGTTCCCCGAACTAGAAAATACAAAAAACATCCAAAACAATTTAAAGGTAACAATTAAAAAAAAAAAAGCTTGGCTCCCATCAGAGTTACAAATGACCTGCTCTTATAATCCGATCGTGGATGTATTTCTCTATTAGTGTTACTGGATCTTAGTGCTGCGTTTGACACTATCAACCACAACATTCTTTTGAATAGACTAGAAAATTATGTTGGCATTAGTGGAATTGCATTGGCATGGTTCAAATCATATTATCTGACCGCCATCAATTCATAGCAGTGAATGAAGAGGTATCATATAGTTCACAAGTGCAGTATGGAGTGCCACAAGGCTAGGACCGTTGCTTTAAAAAAAACTGTATGACTAGTAATTTCTTACTGCTAGATTCTAAAAAGACAGTGGTGTTAATTATTGGACCAACAACCTCTGCATGTAATAACCTAAAACACTGTCTAACACTTGATGGCTGCTCTGTTAATTCTTCGTCATCAGTTAGGAACATAGGTGTGCTATATGATAGCAATCTTTCCTTTGAAAACCATGTTTCTAGCATTTGTAAAACTGCCTTTTTCCATCTTAAAAAAATATCTAAATTGCTCTCAATGTCAAATGCAGCAAGGTTAATTCATGCTTTCATGACCTCAAGGTTAGATTATTGTAATGCTTTATTGGGTGGTTATTCTGTGCACTTAATAAACAAACTCCAGCTGGTCCAAAATGCAGCAGCTAGAGTTCTTACTAGAACCAGGAAGTATGACCATATTAGCCCGGTTCTGTCAACTCTGCACTGGCTCCCGATTCAACAACGAATACATTTGAAAATCGTGCTAATTACTAATAAAGCCCTGAATGGTTTCGCTCCTCAGTACTTGAATGAGCTCATATCACATTATAGTCCTTCACGTCCACTGCAATCTCAAAACTCTGGTCATTTGATAATACCTAGAATATCAAAATCAACTGCGGGAGGGCAGATCCTTTTCCTATTTAGCGCCTAAACTCTGGAACAATCTACATGTTGTTCGGGAGGCAGACACATTCTGTCAGTTTAAATCTAGATTAAAGACCCATCTCTTTAACCTGGCTTACACATAACACACTATCACATTTCTATATTCAAATCCATTAAAGGATTGTTAGGCTGCGTTAATTAGGTCAACCGGAACCGGGAACACCTTCCCATAACACCCGATGTACTCGTTACATCATAAGAATGGCATCTACGCTAATATTAGTCTGTTTCTTTCTTACTCCGAGGTCACCGCAGCCACCAGATTGAGTCTGTATCCAGATCAGATGGTGGATCAGCACCTAGAGACGACCTCTACAGCCCTGAATGTCAGCAGAGACCATGTCAACTAGATGACCGGGTTTGGAGAACTGAATTCTGAAGCCCCATGGATACTCGCCCATGCCTTTGCTGATTTTCACCGTCCGCTCACGAACTGAAATATATAATGCATCTTTAAACACCGTAAATCATAAATAGCCAGTTCTAACCTATAATCATCTTAGAATGCTATGAACCCACTGGCTGCTGGTCGAGTACAGCTGGTGAGACAGTGTGGACTATCATTCTGGTTAACTTCATCTCCATGGTATATCCATGATACTGAGTGAAAGGTTTCAGTGTAAAATCCTCTGTCCTCAATATCCCGCATTGACATGTCCACCGAACGAGTGTCCTCAGAGTTCATTGTGTCTTAATGATGAAAAAACAGAAGTCAGTATTTAAAGTAAAATGCATTCTACCTACAGTGGTCTACATTTTGATAGTCAATAGTAATTTCTCTGGATTTACAATATATAGCTATGTGTTTGAGTAAAACGTAATTTTAGTTTTATTCTGTAAACTACTGATGACATTTTTTCCAAATTTTTATAAAAATATTGTCATTTAGAGCATGAAATAACAATTAGTCAACATAACAAAAAAAGGTGCCATTTTTATGCATTTTTAGACAACACAATGCAAATGTTTTAATGTCATTTGGTGGAATAACCCTGATTTTCAATCACAACAAATTAAAACATTTGGTATTTTGACCAATTGTCATTTTCTGCAATGATAAAAATGACTAAATGACAATATTTTTATTTGAAATTCTGAAGAAATGTTATCATATCTTTATACGATAAAACAAAAATTTACATTTTTCTCAAAGCCATACCTAGCAAATCCATTAAATCCATGAAATTGAGAATTTTCAAGTGGTCTCTTATTTTTTTCCATAGCGTATTATATATATATCACAAATAATTAATTATATAACATATATAAAGTGAATTAAGTTACTCAATTCTATGTCCTCCATTTTGTTTGAATATAATATCTAATACTTTAATGTATTACATCAATATATTAATGTGATATGTAATAAAATAGCATAAAGTAGATTTTGGACTTTATTACCTCTTGAAGAGTATGTGCAAACTGTGCATTTGGTCTCCATAATTACATGAAGGTTTAACAAATAATAGAATCGACCCACAAAAGGTGATGTTAAGACCACTACGGCTTGCGACCTAAAATGAGTTTCACACCCCCGCAATGAATAGGATGGAATGCATTTCACAGCATATAAGTCCATTTCTTGCAGAGTTTTGCCATTTGCACAGAAACTTCCTTCGAAGCCAATCAGACACTTCACACATGACAAATGTAATGAGCATGTGTGTGAGTGATTACCTGATTCCTCTGTGATAATGCTAGTTATAGAACTTCCTCCTGCAGAACTGCGCTGTTTGCTCTCTTTGAAGAGCTTCCGCCTCTTTGCCCAGTGGTCTGAATGCTCCTCTGAATCTTTATGAATGGAGTCTGTTGGAGGCCTGAGGAGCTCTTTGACCTCTAATGAATCTAAGAATGATAAAATACGCAAAAATCGATACAAATCAAGGCCTGATGACAGCAACATTGTAAAGCCAAAGCCAACAAAACTCTAATACTATTTTAGTTGTTTTGGTAATTTTCTGCTTCAGGGCACAGATTTGACTCTGGACAACACAGATCCAAACTTGCTAATCATAAAAAACAACTGTAAACAAAAATGTCCTGAATTCTCTCTCTCTCTCGCTCTCTTGTTTTTCTCACAACAACATGCAAAATTATTAACATGACAGGCTGAATGAGAAGAATGACCACTTTGGTTTCTAAATGACTCTAAAATTTGTTTTTTAAATGTATTTGTCCCCCTTTCATGTAAATTCTTAAATGTATTAATATATTAATTTATTTATTTTATGTAAACTCTAAATATGAACTAAAACCAGTAGTGAAGGGAAGTCCCTGTCTTTCTCAGTGAGTCACTGATTCACTCATTCAATGATTCAAAAGGACTGATTCATTCAAAGCAAGTGACTGTCTTTATGAATGGGTCATTGAATCACTGACTCAACTGATTCATTCAAAAATGGTGAATCATTCAGGAACAAAATACTACTGTGTTGATCAGAGACACAACGGTTGTGCTGTGACTTTTTTTGTTGGCAGAATAGAGCAAAAACTGTTGGTATTGACGATGTTGTGTCTAAAATGTATCTCACTTAATATTAACTTAACATACAATATTATTTATTTATTTAAACTGAAATCAGAAAAGGCAAAATCACTGAGCTCTGCCAACTCGGAGTCTGTAGATCCGTAAAAATCAGAACTTTTTGGTCTCAAAATTAAAAAAAAAATTCACATTCCTTTTTTTGTACTTTGATTTTTAATTTTTAAATCTTCTGCAACAGCTTATACAGAACAGATGTGTCGGCTTTTCTTCTTCAGTAAATAATGACCATTTTGTTCTTTTGAGACTAAAAGTTAAATTAATTTATTTACTTGGTTTTTTCTCCATTTCTGTCACTGATGGAGTTTTGGTTCCTTGCCACTGTTGCCTTTGGCTTGCTTTGTTGGGGAAACTTAATTTCTGGCAGCATTGTTGGCTTGATTGCACAAACGCTATTTGAAGAGAGCTGAACTGAGCTGGACGATGACATCACTGGATCAACAATGAACTGACTTTAACTGAAAAACGGACTGTTTTCTATTGTCCTTGTGCATTATCAGCACACATTTTTTTCTGTTTGACACTGTAAAGCTGCTTTGACACATCTGCTTTGATCTGTATTGTATAAAGCGCTATTTAAATAAAGGTGACTTGACTTAACTTCACTATAATCCACAGTGATTTAAGGCTCACCAAGAATTATAAAGATAACTAATAGCACCAGACTTTGATGTTGCCAGTAGGGAGAAAACATATGGCTACTTGTGGATGAAATTAAACAACACAGTTTTAATATTTGCAGACATAGATATCAAGTTAAACTGCTAACTTTTAGTTAATAAGTAATATATCATAATATGTCAAACAAAGCTGCAAAAAATGTCTTTTCAAAATGTCAGATTTCATCAAATAATGTTATTTGTATTGTTCATCAGTTGTTAAAAAAAACATGATAGTGATTCCAGCGATATCGTTCCTTTGTGTCATTATCGTTATAGTTGTGGTGTGGGATTCCCTATTCTCACAGACTTATAACGATTATTGAAACTTTAGTTATCGTCCTTGATGTGAACAGGCCTTATACAATGCCTTCAAGCTATTCCTAATAAAAAACGAGTGAGTTTCTCATTCTTTTGCTTTCACATACACGTACATTTGCTGTTGTGCTAATCAGATCCGTATTCTTGATAACTTACTTGTGTCCACCTCAGTAACCACGATGAAATTAATTTATTTACTTACCCATCGAATAAATTACAAAAAAAAAAGTATATATATAATCTTAAAAGGAGGACACACGAGCGTCTGCTAGCCAGACATGGTATTTCAAAACTGGATCGTTCAATAAGAAAGCATAAAATATTTCAATGCTCACTTTTTGAAGCACCTTGCCGTTCAGACGAATCATTGTTATAGAATTTTGTTGTCCTAGAGACATCTGTGCTTATTTTCTCCAGGAATTCATTTGTTTGCACTTCTCCAGGCTGTTGAGAAGGTGTGTCCTTAGTGTTTGCAGAGGTTGTGGTTTTTTGTGCTTGGGAGTAGTCTGCGACCTCTTCCACAGCTTCTCTGATACTGGCAAGATCCTCTATTGGAGACCCGGTAGGAGACTCAATCACAGGGCTCAAAGCATCTATCTGATGTTCCTGTGATACGTCCTCATCAAATGAGAAGACATGGTTGCCCTGTAGAAATCTCTGCTCACAGTCCCCAGTGATTATTGTCATTACCGAACCTCTCCGTTTCTTTGGAGCGTCAGCTTCATCTCCGTCCCACGTGTGATGCTTGATACTGTTGGGTAATCCTTCATTGATTTTTTCTTCAGAGTTGCACAGTGAAGGTGGGATGACGTGAATAAGAAGCTCCCTTTGATGGCTCTCCATGGTGTCACCTGGAGAAATTGACCCATCCAACTCCACCATCTCCTCGTCAAAGCCACTTTCATTGACTTCGTTCAGCTCAGGTTGTCCCGCTGAGGTGCTGTCTTGATCCGTGCCATCATCGATCATCATTCCTGCAGCGACATCTGAACCCAGTTGCTCCATCTCGTCTAGCTGCGACGGCCCCTGATATTGTTCGCCTCTAAAGAAGACTTCTTCTGGACTCTCATCGGACCTGGATGGATAGAATGGATTTTTCATTGAGCTGTAAGCCTTGAATTTGGGAATACAAGAGTCGGGACCGGTTGTAGAGCTTGAGCTTGGTCTATAGCTGCTACTACTGGAAGATTTGCGGCTCCCAAGTGGACGAAATCTTTCGTCTTCTACATAAAATCTTCCCATCCTGTCTGCTTGAGAGGGAAGAGACTGCGTGAAAAACAGTGTGCCAGAGGAAAACGACTCTCTGTATGAGGGAATGCTCTCTCTGGCTTGACTCATTTGATATGTCAATCCCGGGTACGTCTTTCGTCTTTTGGGAGGAATGTCCATGTAGCCTGCAGGATGAGTTTTGCTTTCTAGGATGGCGATGCTGTTGTTGCGCAAACGCGTCTTCCTTTCGTGATTTTCGATGAAGTTTTTAGTGAAAGAAGATCTGTTTATTGAAGCTCTGGGATTCATGAATAAGTGTTCCTGAGGACTCAAGTCGGATAGCCGTTCACAGCACCTGGCCACAGTTGTCCTGTTGTCCCCATCCAGTGTATTCTGGCGTGTAAACTCTTTGCACAAGGTAACCTCAGATGCTGTCTGCGTGCAGTTAGTGTTGTGGTGGTCAGTGAATCTTTCTCTGGAACTGATCTGACACGATGCAACATTTTCTGCAAGGAAATCCAGTGCACTAGTCTTCTTATCAGCAAATTCATCAGGGGGAGGGATATCCCATAATGCCTCATTACTGAGACTGCTGGGCAGTGAGCGCTGTTTCTGATGTTGCCAGAAATCAGAGGGTGATGAACAACAGGAAGATCCATCAACCAGTGTGAAATCAGTGTCCGTCTGGCCACCGGTGTTTCCCCAACGGAAGTTATTTTTACAGCAGCTTTTACGGCAAGCCATTTCTTCAGGATCATCCCATGAGCTCTGACTCTTTGAATCATGTGTTGACTCTGCATTCAGCTCTGCAATGCTAATCGTATAGCTAATATTCTCACTGGTGTTTTGTTTGTAATCTGCTCCATGTTGGTTCCATGAGTAGACGTGTGTGTCTTTTGGAGATTGATGATTCTCCGTTCTAAAATGAGCCTCTTCTCTTTTGTCTCTGCAGTTTTGAAGAATAAAGGTGGTCTTGATATTTGAATCATCTGATGTCACGACATTGATCTCAAGCTTCATATTTGGGCTCATGCATTTGACCTCAGTGGTTGTGACTGCTATCACACTACTAACCGTTGCTTCATGGCATCGGTCGAACACAACTCTGGGAGAAGACAGTCCAAAGTTATCGATGGTCACAGAATGTGTGATTTTTAACCCTGGACCTCTGTCAATTGGTTCTGAGTTTGGCTTTTGTCTGTATTTTTTCTTTTTGTCCAGGAAGAAATCTTCACAACTCCGTGTTCTGATTTCTTTCTCCGTGGTTGGAGTCTCAGTCTCCTTCTCGTCTTCAGACACTGACAGTACATGCTCTTTACAGAAGGAGTCAGTTTCTCCTTTCTCTGCAGCTTCCACAGTGTCCACCATAGTGTGCCTCTGAAAATTATATGGAGAGATGCATTCTGTACAAAAAGAAAAAGAGGTTTAGATATGTTGCATTGCACACCCCTTTCTTGATATCTTTCTTCAGTCGTATTTGTAACAGAATCCTTGTTAATGTTTGAAGGAAATAGCCAAAAAAGCTTCATTTTAGCAATCATAATGTTGTTTAACCTATCAAGGAAATACTTTATAGGCATATCCACCTATTTTTAATGTAATGTGCAAGGCTTCTGGTGTCACCCATTTCCAGTTATTTTAGCAGTATAAAAACACTCTGTTATGCTGCTTGCATTAACTAATTACATGTAATCTGGATTACATAGTCAGATTCCAAAAATTAAGATTATATTACATTTTAAAAGAAAAAGAGGTTTAGATATGTTGCATTGCACACCCCTTTCTTGATATCTTTCTTCAGTCGTATTTGTAACAGAATCCTTGTTAATGTTTGAAGGAAATAGCCAAAAAAGCTTCATTTTAGCAATCATAATGTTGTTTAACCTATCAAGGAAATACTTTATAGGCATATCCACCTATTTTTAATGTAATGTGCAAGGCTTCTGGTGTCACCCATTTCCAGTTATTTTAGCAGTATAAAAACACTCTGTTATGCTGCATTAACTAATTACATGTAATCTGGATTACATAGTCAGATTCCAAAAATTAAGATTATATTACATTTGAACATACATATAATCAGACTACGGTTACTTTATATTGACTACGTATTATTCACACAATAGAAATAAATTACTCAGAATTGATTGATTTTTCATCTTTTAAATGTTCCTTTCTAAAATAGCCTACAGCTTATAAACATTCAGAAAGTCTTGCAACTTTATGGACATTCATACAAAGACCAGTCATTAGTCAGGAGGCTATAACTACACAGAAAACTGAGACAGCATTTGATTTACAAAAATCATTTTAAATTTTAAAAAGTGTTTTCTCAACATTTCAATGTTGCATCAACTACTGATGGACACATTCATTTTTATTTGAATTATCACTCAGTGGGTTTTTTAACCATATATTAATATGTCTTTGGAAGGCTTCTGTCATTCAAATACATTAAAATGCACAAATTCACATTATTTCTTGCTTACATGTAATGCGGTGATTCCAAAACTTTTTTTTTTGTCAGCCAAAAATATTTTTACTTGAAGTACCCCCTAATATTGTAAGGTAATAAGTTAATTATTAAGTAACACATTGACATATTCACGTTTCTCTGATGTTGGTTAATGGTCACATGACATGCAGATGTTTGGATTCTTATTATTTTAAAATGATGCATTTTCATTTAAATTTTTTTTATTTAATTAATTATTAGCTTTTATTAAACTCACAAACCCCAGTTTGGGGAAACCTGTCGTAATGTAATGTTTAAAGCCAATATCGTGGAATTTTCTAATAATCAAATCAAATATTCATTCTCTTTGCATTTTTAAAGCAATATATTAAAAGACTACCATATTTAAATCAATGTTTGAAACGAGTTTTACTTTTTTTCTCCTGCACCTGTTTTAGTGGTTTAACTGTTCTATAACTTGTTTTATTTTAACTTAGTTTTATTATAAGTTAAAACGAGTTTGGTCAAAAGCAATCCAAAAGTAATCAGAATGTATATTACCTAAATGTGTAATGTAATGGCTTACGTTACTAACTACAGTTTTTATCATGTCATTTGGAATCACTAATGGATTACATGTTATGTTTGTTATCATATTATTTCAATTTATTATCATAATCATAAAAACACTGGTTTGTATTGTAGTACAAATAGTCTTACCTGCACTTTGTTATTCTTAGTTATGTACCTACACTGTAAAAAATGACCGTGAATTTAACGGTAAAAGACTGTAAAAATGCTACAGTAAAAACCTGTTAAATGGTTAACGGTAAATTCCCCTACTATATACGGTGAAAAACTGTATTTGACATTACATGTATTGGACATTAATTTTACGGTAGTATACCGTTTTTGGAAGTAAAAAATACCGCATAATTTACAGTGAATAACCGTAAATCGACATTCCCAGAATTCCCTGCATTACATTTCAAATGTGATGTTTTTTTTGTTGAAATAACTATGTTTCTTCTTAGTTTTTTCTTATCAGTTTTGTATATTAGGGTTGTGTGTTACACCTAATGTTGTTAAATGAATGTTTATTGCATTATTTCAGTTTCATGTGTGTTACCGTGATGGTGTTTAGTGTTTGTGTGAATGATGCTGTGCACCTTCTATATATGTTATTATTTAAAAGCTGCTTGTGATGGGCTTTGGTTCATCATGTGACTTTCTCATCACCTCCTGCATTTGGTGGTTATCAGTGTATTACAAAGCTACAAAACAGATTTCAGTACTTCAATAGGTTGGTATATTAACATTATATCAGTTAAAAACTGTAGCAACCACAGCTGCCGTTTTTTTACCGTAAATTTTACGGATTTTGTTTTTACAGTGTACAACAGTCAATGAATCAGAAGTCTCACACATACATAAGGATAATAGCTTACTTCCGTGTTGCAAAACAGGGTGGAGAGAGTGACCTCAAATAGTATTTGGACACTTAAGCCACACTTGTCTTGGCGTCTGGATGCCATTATGAAGAGCTCTAGTACCATTTATTTGCAAATGCCTCTAGATTTGATATTTTGTTATCTAATACAATGATTTTCTTATGTGTGGCTTATACTTTTTGGTGCCAATGTAAGGGCATTACGATTATATTCTAAATATAGTCAACTATTCTAAATTCTGTTTTTCGAACATTTTTTTTGTAAAATTATAATTTGATACATTTTCATTGTGATTTTATAGATTTCAAAGCAGATTTCAGTGTGATGGCGAGTGCTGTGAGAATAGGCGTCCCCTAATCGGGCACCTGTGTCTGGGCTGTGGGCTAAACGTGACTCAGACGGTGTTTAGAGGATTACGGTCCACACATGGCCCAGGAGCCACTTATAGATCAACACTCACGTTTACTGCTGCTGGAGCTCTTCCTCCTGCGACTGTTTCTCCTCTTCCTCCGACTCATTCTGCTGGTTGTGTGACATCTACAGTACTGTACACTAAAACATAGAAACATGGTGCATTTTCATCATCTGTGTCGCTGTTTATTTATAAATACACTATCATTCATTGTGAATTCATGTTCATTAATGGCAATTTATACAAGTTGAAAATGTATTGTTATATGTAGAAATGAACTTAATCTAGATTAATAAATGCTGTTAAAGTATTGTTCATTGTTATTTCAAATGACCTCGTACATTAAGTAACTATTTAATTTTAAATGATCCTTTTACTAATTAATTCCAAAAAGTCAATTTTTTAAAAAGCTGATTGCAAGTCGGTCAACAAACAAACAGAAATCGCTCCATAATTGCGACCTTAGTTTATAATTCAGGTACTTTCTCATTTAATTTCATTGTATAATAATGGAAGACAAGGAATACTATGACAAGTGTATCTGTCTGCCTTGCTAATTTTGCAAGAGTCAGCAAAGTCCTAACCTTGCCACAACAAGCACTTACTATAGAGACACATTCAAACTATATGGATATATGGATCCAGACAAATGTATATTCTTACCTTAAGGCGGTCAGTCACGTTTCCACTGTGGTTTCTTCAGAGAAGTAATGATGTAAAGGCAGTATCTGCATAAACAGCAGCTGATATCAGGGCACTGCTCCACTTCTTATTGTTCTATTCTTGACATAACGACCAGAAGGAGCTTAAATGAACTAATCCTTCTCAGACCCAACCCTGTGTCAGTATATGAAACACCCTTTTGAAAGGTAGCCAATAGCATTTCCTCTTTAGTTTTGGTAAGGCAATTTATTTATTTATTCTTTCTTTCTTAAAAAATGAAATGAGAAAATCAGTTAACTTATTAATTAAAAAATGAAATAAATATATTTTAATTATTTTTTTTTCATAAATTTTAATTTTATAAATTAAAATAAATTATTCATATTTAAAATGGACAAATAGCTATATTTCAATCTATATGTCTATATACAGTATCTATTCTGTCTGTCTGTCTGTCTATCTATCTATCTATCTATCTATCATCTCAGTCTGTCTGTCTGTCTATCTATCTATCAACTCTGTCTGACTGTCTGTCTGTCTGTCTGTTTATATATCTATCCATCTATCATCTGTCTGTCTGTCTGATCTATCCATCTGTCTGTCTGTTTGTCTGTCTGTCTGTCTGTGTGTCTATTTATCTATCCATCTATCATCTGTCTATCTATCTATCTATCTATCTATCTATCTATCTATCTATCTATCTATCTATCTATCTATCTATCTATCTATCTATCTATCTATCTATCTATCTATCTATCTG